ATATATATATATATATATATATATATATATATATATATATATATATATATATATATATATATATATATATATATATATATATATATATATATATATATATATATATATATATATATATATATATATATATATGAAAAATAACTTCTATAATTTTATAAATAAATTGGACAAATGAGGTGGAATTATAAGAAGTAAATGTAGACTATTAGCTAAAGAATTTGGAGCTTGGGGTTCCCGAATGAATTCGAACATTTTTGTGGATGGTGAAGCATCACTGTCTAATTACCAAATAAGTGGTTATCTTTCAAACACATTGACAACTTTTACTGTCTTGATTGTTGGAAAAAAAATAAAGCATTGAGAAAAAAAAAATGAAATAACAACAACACAATAATATAATGTAAAAATTTTAAAACTGGTGAAAAAAATCACGACTGTTGTCAATAGACAATCAGAAAATAATATTTAAAAATTATTATAATACATAGTATACTCTCAACTAACTCATGCCTCCAATAATCTACACCATCTAAAATAAATATCTAACTACATCTCACAACACTCTAATACAAGAGCATAAAAGAACAAAAAAAGTCAAATACAAATTTAAAGGGCTTTTGACTGATGCTCTTAATAGCCTTTGAATTCCTCTTCATTCACTAAACCAAGCGATTTGAGACTTGAAAAACTTTAATTCTATATATAGTCTTGGATTTTCCTTTACAAAAATAAGATCTGAGACTTCTTCAACATGTATATTTTCAACCAACCCCAACAATCTCCACCTTGATTGAAAATAATACATTAATTTTTATTGTATTCACCAACAATCATACTCCACCATAAAAAATATAGTCACTTGAAACTACACCACTCTAAGAATTTTCACACTATCTTCACTGACAGTCATAGTTTTAAAAACTATCATACTCCACCTAAAGAAGAGTATACTTCACTTGAAGTTAAATTACTTTAAGAATTTTCACATGCCGAAAACTAGATTGAAACTTTATGGTGCAACTTCCATGTTGGTAGGAAGCTCTTCAACCATCGACATCATCTTGCACCTTGTTTAATCTTGATTGTAACACATATTTGACTTAAACTTTTCACAAGTCAAAAACAATTCTTCCATCAATTTTCTCTAGCCCAAACTGCACAGCAGAACTTGTGACTGTAGCTTAACAACTATTTCACAATAATACCCTTCTTTCATGATGTGGAAGATTAGACAAAACTGCAACCACAAAGCATACTAAGATCACTTATCTCCAGATCGAACCAAAAGCCCTGATACCAATTATTGAGAAAAAACAAACAAAGCATCGAGAAAAAGAGGAATAAAATAACAACAACACAAGGACATAACTTGGAAACTCCAAAACTTGAGAAAAACCCACAACCGTTGTCAATACACAACCAAAGAATAACACTATTTGAAAATTGTTACAATATATAATATACCCTCAACTAACCCCAGCCCCGGTACATCCACACCCTCCAAAATAAATATTTAATTACATCTCACAACACTCTAATACAAGAGCATAAGAGAACAAAGAAAGTCAAATACAAGCTTAAAGTGCTTTTGACTAATGCATCTTGTAAAGAAAAACTTGAATCCTATATATAACCTTGGACTCCCTCTTCATTCACTAAACTAAGCGATGTGAGACTTGAAATTTTTTTAATTCTATATATAGTCTTGGAATCCCTCTTCCTTTACAAAAATAAGCGACGTGAGACTTTTTCAACATGTATATTTTCAACCAACCCCAACACTGATTTCCCAGGTAAAGATGAAACAACCATTCATGTCCCGCGAGATTGTGTAAATGCTAAATATATCTGGAATAATTTGGTGGATGAATCAAATTGGGAGAAGTTTTTTTACTGTGATTTTCACGAGTGGATTGAGATCAATCTGAATGCTACAAAGTAACAAGGCTGGAGCGAGATTTGGGCTACTACATGTCATATGAAACTGCATATGCGCGTTATCAATTTATCGGTTTATATTGTTTTGATGCTTTCGTTACCTTATTTTATCGTATTTTTGAGTTTCCTCGTTAATTATGTAATACACATAAAATAAATTTGATTTTCATGCATTAAATGAAACGTTAACTATAGTAAACTCTTAATGATCTTATTCAAAGGTTATTGTGAATGAATTCAAGAAAATTAAGTGATTGAATAGATTAAAAGGTATTGATGAATAGATTCAAGAAATTTTACAAAAATTGGTTTGATTCAGTTGATGGAATAAAAAAGGCTTAATATCTTTTTTGATCCCGCATGTTATTTTTAGGGTCCATTTCGGTCCCTTAACTTAAAAAAGGTTCATATTGGTTCCCCAACTCTTCAAAACATATCACGTTATTCCTTTTCGTATAATTAGCGACAAAAAAAGTTGGAAATCCGTCGCTAATATGATAAAAATGATTAAAATGATATATTTGAAGATTTAAGGGACCAAAATGAACTCCGATGTTAACATACGAGGCTAAAAAATGTATTAAGCTATTTAAAAAGTTGTTTGATCCTATCCAAGTGAATCAATTCAAAAATTCTTGATCCTATTCATGACAGTTTTCTCAAAATCATGTTTGATTATGTTTTCTAAAATTGATTCAAAAATACCTCTGATCTAGATCAAATGTCTATTTCGAATTGGTTCAAATATATTTTCCGATCCTATTCAAACTGGCTTTGATCTTGTTCAAATGTTTTCGAATTAGTTTAAATACATTGTCTCATATTCAAACTGGCTTTGATTCTGATCAGTTTTTCAACTAGGTTTCACCATTTGAATTGATTCATCATCATCCTTGAGCAGGATCATTTATGACAAATTTCATCCATTTTAGTGCATCTCTCTCGCACATATAAATAGTTTTATCCTCTCTAAAAATCATAAGAGATATCAAATATTTCCAGTTAAAAAAGCTTTGCAAACATAACTTCTTCCTTTCCTAAATCTTCATCTTAATAATGTTTATGGAAAATCTTTTCTTATGTGTGTGTGATGATTACTTGTGAGGAAACATTAGAGATCTAATTTTTCATTGTAGTGTCTATATTTTTGCAAAGAGAAATTTGAACTTGAAGAAATTCAAAGGTTTGAAGTGCCTTGAAGGAAAAAGAAGAAAAAGCTTTTCTCCTTTTTTGTGGATTTATCAACTTGTTGCTGAGAAGGATTCAAGCTTATAATTTCGAGATTAAGTGAATATTGGAGAACTTATCAAGATTGAAGTCCATAAAAGGTTGAAGATCAACATCTTTGTACAGATCCAAGTTTTAGTGGTTGTAGATAGTTGGAAACAAGTTCTATCAAGAAGCAAGGAAGAAGATAGATTGAATTTCTATAGTATATCTTTTGCTTATCTAAATTGTTGTAACACGAACCGAACTCAAAAATCATATTAATGGAAGAAACAAATTTTTA